ACTGTTATGTATTTGTCTAAGCATCGTAATAAATCTGATTCCGTTTCATGGTACATTTGACCAAGTTGAGCGAGTGAGGGTGGATAAGGATGATTCTCAAATTTGAAAAAAAATTTCAGGTCACCATCTCTATTCTGTGACACAACGTAAAGTCTACTGAATAAAGTAACATCTGATTTCAATTCTTTCACTTTACTTGATTTATTCTGCTTATTTTTTTTATTCTTGAAGGAAATGTTATTATTTTCAGTGATTGGTTCAGAAATTGATTTTTTCGAGTGTATCAACTTATCATAGAAAAATTCTCTGCTTTGATGGACGCCTTTATCTAATAACAGTCTCAAACATTCGTAATTCACGACAATTCTACTATCTAGAGCGAATAATTCAGTTGAGGTTTCCTGGAACGAATTACCATATGTTTTGAAGGTATCTGATCCGAATGAAGATGGACATTGGAAGAAGAAAAATGGATACCACTCTGGACAACTATCAAGAACGAAAGATTGGAAACAGATAATATAATGATTGAATGTCAATGTAAAATTTGTGATCATAAATGCAAATGTTTCCTGAGGAAATTAAAATGTGCACAATTATGTACCTGTAAGGAATGCTGCAATTAGCGCTGTAGTACCTGATTTTATATTTGTTTTATTTCATTTTCAGAGTTGATGAGTTGATTTTTATGTTCTCAGATTATTTTATGTAGTTCTCGGAGTTGATGAGTCGATTTTGATGCTTTTAGATTGTTTTTATTACAATAAAAATGTTGAAATTGTTGTACCTTTATTGTTAGATTTTCCACATTCCTTCTTGAATCCAAGTAGTATCCTACATAATTATTTGTCTGTGTGATGAGTAAATCAACTTCTTCCTCTCACGGTAAGATGTTCATTTCTCACGTTGCATGCACCAACGGTAGGTAGGTAGGTATTTTTTATCATTTTTCACACATTATTCTACCAAACGCGCATGTGTTCGTACGCCACTGGATGCCTCCTCTATATATCTTCAACTTTATATATACCGTTCGATAAAAAAAACTGCATGCCTCATTTTTTCTCTCATCGAATTTTTCGATTCTTTGAACCGTTTAATAGTTATGAGGAAAAACATGACAGCCTAGAACTCCCTCCTCCCATATATTTTTTATTGGGAGCTGACATTGAGATTTTTGATCAATCAAAAAATATCTATCAGATGTAAAATTCAATTTTCTTTCGAATGGCGTAAATCGCAAATCTCTATCTCTCACCGTTTTTGAGAAAATAATATTTATATGCAATTGTGCGCACCACCCCTTCGAGAAGGGGGTGGGGGTGTCTCCGCGGGTTTCAGGGGTGGGTCTGCCCCTGAATCTCTTTATTTTTACTCACTCTATGCCTGTTCAAAAGGATTTGCTTTTACTCAGAAGGGGAAGTATCGATCATCGTAGGACCTTAGCTAAAATGTGCGTTCATGAAATTATCCTTCAGACCTCGAGCGAAAATCGTATTTTTAAAAACTTTATCCAGAATTGCGCTACCTATTCCTTTCATTCCTGATCAATTTTCATGAAAGAACACATAACCTTAAATGTCTGAAACAACCATATTCGAAATATTTGACCTTGAATAGAATTTTCAGATGCATTTTTTATTATCTTCCTATCCTTCCAAATGAATATGATGTTTCCTTGCACTTTGCTTCTTGTGAAAGGTTATATTATGTAGGTATAGTTTCAAAACTTGACACTACTGATTTTGATATTTATTTTTCTTATTTCAGTTATTTTTCTCCGTACTGTGTTACTTTCCATGTTTAAACGATGACTATTGATTCCATTTTAATATTTTCCCAATCACTTCGTCGCAGATTTACTAGTTTTCTTGAAATATTTTCTGAATATTAGTGATTTCCATTTTTCTGTTACCCCTCTCTACAATCACATCATATTCGTGTCTCTAACCTATTATCAATTCAAAAAATGACGCTTTCTACCTAATAAATTTCATTAGCTCAAAGATATAGATCGCTGACAGTTGTTAATTTGACTTGAAGATTGCAGAAACTTTTTTCTTTCAGAAACACTTGTTCAACCCATGACTTGACGCCTAGATGATAATTTCTAGCCTCAGAGCAGATCAACAATTCGCATAATATACAGTTATCAGTGCTTCAAGGCCAATAATCACTTATAATCTCCCTAGCAACAGAATTGTTGCCGATAATTTTTTTCAGGGTCACGAACATGAGTGATACCGAGAAAATTCTGCTGCGTGGGAGATTTGGTTAGAACATTTCATAAATTGGAGTTGCTTTTATTATGATGAGAAGATGAATCCTAGCGTAGATGTCAAATAAAATTTGATCCTTTTAAGTATAACTCGTTTTTATTCGGGATAAAACATAACATGTCGCTTCACCTGACGGCAAAAACTTGAACAATTCTGAGCGGTTTGTTTTGATGGAGTGACCAATGAGTTCAAACTAAAAACAAATGAGAACCAATGAAAACAAAGTAAACAGACCGCTTTGACAGCTTTCGAAAATTCCGATAGGTAGCGTACGCTTATTTTCTGTCGCAAATTACTAAGATGTGAGAAACATTAAATAACAAATTTGTTATCTGAAATACATCAATGTCTTTATAGTTTTGAATTCAAATAAAACTTGAAAAAACATGTTTCCGATGAGTTTAGTTAAATTGACGTAATATATTTTTACAATAGAAGTTGAATTTACTTGTTTGTAACCAAGGTTTATTACTTAAATTTTAGGAACATCTGATATTGCATGTCTACATAGCTTCAAAAGGAACTTTAATAACTATGGTGACTAGTTATGTTATATACTTGGTATTTTTAGTTTTATAATTTGTATCATGGATGGAGCAGCAGTTGAGCGACATTTCAACATCCATTTTAGTGTTTCGATGGAATTTTCGGATATGAAGGAAATGTTGACATACTATCAAATCATAATATACCAAGTATATAACATAACTAGTCACCATAATACGTAACGATAGCAACTCCAGCGATATTGTGAAGAACCTTTAGCAACATTTAGAAACTATAAAACCTGGAAAAGCTTCAAATCACAGCAGTCAGAAAATCTTCATTTTCAAAGAACTTCCTTCCTGTAGTCATGTTTTTGTTAGAGTTGATTCCGTTAAGAAATCGTTTCAAGCACCGTATTCTGGACCTTATAGAGTACTACATACGTCAGAGAAATATTTTACTTTCTCTATTAATGGCAAAGAGATGAACATTTCAATTGCTAAAAGTGCATCCCAAAAACTTGGTTTTCTGTTTCGGGCCAGGATTTATTTCACTTATGATCTATAAGGCACAGATCCGACCTGTCCTGGAATACTGTTCCCATATTTAGAGTGCAGCACCCAAACATACCCTGAAACTGTTGGATTCTGTCCAAAAAAGGGCAATTCGTCATGTGGGTGATGCCTCGCTCACAAACTCACTCACTTCTCTGGGACACCGTAGAAAAGTTAATGATCTGGCTCTATTTAATAATTTTTTCCATGGACGATGCTCTTCTGAAATATCAACAATTGTTCCTCCCTTGGCAGTCCCCGCGAGATTAACCCGTCGAGTTGAGGCTTGGCACCCCTTCATGGTCACTTTGGAGACCTGCAGAACATCTCTTTCCAAAGGCTCGTTCATCCAACGAACAGCGAGGCTCTGGAACACATTGCCAAGGGAGGTGTTCCCCGAGGCATATAACCTCCAGAAATTCAAGAAGAAAACCAATTCCTACCTTATAACATTTGATATTACATGTCTACATAGTTTCAAGTGAAACTGAGTGACTTTTGCCAATAGATATGAGGCGCTTAACTTTCGACAGAATAATAATTGTCACTTATTAATTCCATTAAGTTAATAGTACCGAACCAAATCACCGCGATAGTCACCCGTTGCCATAGCAACGTAATCAAACAGAAGCCTTCTAATTGGTTCAAAATAAATGTATGAAATTTTCATGTCAAGAACGCCCATGGCGTTGTTAGGGAGGATAGTTTATTGCAAAGAATGTCTATCTAACTAGTAAAACTTGTCATCAATGTATGTACCATCATATAAAACTAACTTATTCTCTAGAAAAAAATATGTTACATTATTATGTAGCTTTTATCATCTTTTGGAGCGCTCGAGAGGAAATTCCTATTATGTTCGAGGAACATATCGTGAGTACTCAGGGAGAAGAGGTATAGCTTTCGGATTTTTTCTGAACTTTTGGAGGTTATAAGTTCTTCGGATCACTTCTTTTGGCAAAGAATTCCAAGGCTTCGCCGTTATATGGGACAATAATAGTGCTGGTAGAGAATTGCAAGCAACCTAATAAAATAGCAGATAAACGAAGCACTGATAAGTTTTTGATGAAACCTACGAAAATTTTGATTCATCGCCACTAATTTTAGTAATTCTTTCAAATGACATTCTTTCTCTTGAATTTTCTCGAAAATTTCAAATAGGAAACTTTATCTAAATTGACATTGTAGTTTATTAGGTCATTATGTACAGATAAATGCGGTTGTTTTTATTTTCAATCATTGAAGGCTGTTCTGCCTGGATAAATAACTTCAATGATTTTTCAAATGAAAATAAATACAGAGGGCGTAGCTCCTGCGCCATTTTGGAAACAAATGTCCACTTGTGATATATCATTTAACTGGGATTTTTTTTGCTCTATCGAATAGCATGAAAAATTATACAGGGTTTTATTTAAAATTCTTGACATGTCAATTTTCGGTGAAACGGGAAGTGATATTCAATGTTTTTTCATGGAAAATATGGGTTTTAAGAAACTATATCACCGATCTGAATTTCAAAATTCTAACTTGGAAAAAAACTGAATGACGCCCTGTCCAATGATCTAGTTGTCACCTGATATATTATCTGGTTAATGAATCTATAAATATGACCAATTTTCCGAGTGTTCTTTCATCTAGGACACATACATGCAAAAAGTAACTAAAAAATCGATAGTGTTTTATTCAGTGGCTTGGTGTATTTCCATTTCATACCTCATGTAGTTGTTGAAATCGAAGTAGTGAATACATTTGTTGAATAAAATCAAATGCTTCATCAGCTTACTGAAATATATCGAATTGCAAATATTCATGATAATAATAAAAATAATATACTCAATCTCAAATTCTAGAGGAAACATATTATGTTTATATCAACTTTTGTCAAATTCTTATCAGGTACCTACCATTTTGTGAAAATCAATCGGTAATAGTGGAGAGTAAAAAGAATTTGAATATATTCTATCATTTTCAACAAAGACAAGAGTAATGTACAATGGCACATACTCAATACCAATACGACTTAGGAGGCACCCTATCTTCTTTGATCCCCATTTTCTCCATAATATCCATCTCAAAGGTGCGTAGAGCAGGCTCGAATGTAATTTCACTAAGATCATCGGCAGCAGTATCTTTGGGCTGCTCCTTGTATGTACCTTTCGTTTTATAGTCTATCGTTTCTTCTACTGATGGTGGAATTGGTATGATTCTCCCAGTTCGAGTTGAGACTCTAACCTTCTCCCCCTCTTCTGTAAACCTCCATTCTATGGGAGTGGGGGTGAGATCAGATGGGTCCACTAGGGATATTTCGGATGTTACTAGAAGAGGCTTTTCAGCGCGTACCCAGACCCCCTCGAAATCATCTCTTTGGCCCATTTTTTTCAGTTCGCAGTTCAGACCTTCCACAATGACCCAGTTACGCTCCTGAATGATTTCCTTTATCACCCCTTGTTTCCCTTTGTCTTTACCTATAAATAATCATAAATGGTGATTATAATCAATATACTACAACAGGGCGTCTCAGGCTTATTTTGTCAAACTCATTACATTTTTCATCAACATCATACATATTGGAAAAATTAATCTCCACAAGCATCAATCAAGTGAATATCATTTGTGGAAGAAAAATAGTTTGTTTCAAATCGTTCAAAACCTCTTCTAATTCTTTGACCAATTCTCAACAACTCTAAAAAAAATGTCTCCTGGAAAATGGCGAATATTTCCAGAAATAAAATTCTAAAGTTGATTGTTCGTGTTCGTGATTTAGTCTATATAAAGTTCGACTAAAAACCTAGGCTAACAACACAATTATTTATGTACCAAGGACCAAAAAACTATCTATTATAGTCGAGTCTGCAAATTTATAGCCGAGGCTAGCAATCAGGCGAGAAAATAGGCAGTTTTTCCATTTATATCCATATCACGGTCCTATTCACACGTGAAATCTATCGGATTTCGTGAATAATTAATATGACAACAGCAATTGACAGCTGTTGTCAACTCATTCTCCGCGCGGACCAGGGGGGGGGGGATACATGTATCCCCCCCCCCTTAATCCAAATTCTCCAATAATTGTAATAGATCTTGTTAAATGCCTATGCTCATGGTCAGATTTTCATGTTTATCCCTTGACATTGACATTGACTCTATGTCAACGTCTTGTCCATGTCTTCAATTGACATAATTTTCAGTGTTTTCTAACCAAACCAGTTTAGATTTAAAACACGTGCTGGCTGCTTGCCCCATCAATTTTATTGATATTTGCTTTAAATAATGCCTTCATAAGGGAACGGGGAACCCCTTTTTTAAAAAACCCGCTAGTTAATGGTGTTGTCAGATTTTAATTGTTTGACAATACCCTTCATATACCTTTTTGGTTATATGAAATGTTCTTTTATAAAACCTAGTATACGCTCTCAGGGCACGGGGCCCTTCAATTATTGAGAACCCGTTTACTCAATTTTCATTCTGGAACTCTTGACTATGGGCATTGACAGAAAATAATTTTTCAACTCCAGTAAGTAGCATAAAATAGGTAATCTTTTCATTTCAATATCATTGTTTTGTATTGTAGACTTTTCAATTAGGCTGAAGATGGTCTTTTATAAGACCGAAACATGTCCCTCATGAATTAGTTAATAATATCATTAAAATTTGTGGAGATGACTTCGAGCATTCCTTCCTTCCTGGGATTACAGTAAATGCTCAAAGTATGAACCGTTTTGTTCCAGACACATTTAAAATTGGCGCCGAATTGAACGTCTCGCGTTATTTAAATGCTGAACTGTTATATCATGACACGCATTCCTTATTCGATGGATAAGTTTTTCTCTTCTTTGAACCAGGGTTTAATAAACTTTTCCCTTTGAACATCCCCAAACTAAGGGGTCAGGTCTGTCGATCGTGGAGGCCACTCAACCGGCCTCATCCGACCTATATCCACGCAAAAACGTTCTACAGGGTTAAATTTGGTACGACCCCCAAAAGTCTATCACCCTGTAGGTTTTCACGAACGCTCAATAGCCCGAAATATTGAGTTTTTGGAGTGTATTACGTGCACCAAATTTCAATCAATTATTTAGAAAATCGTAGGAGAAAAATCAAAAAACACAAAAAAATCTGAAACTTTTGACACCCTGTGAATCCCACGCGTATATAGAACTTTCATCTTGAAAAAATGTCTTCTATAAGCTGTTGAAGTCCTGCTATAAAAAACTGAAACACCCTGTATACTTATAAGATTTGAGTATACAGGGTGATTCAGGTTTTAAGGCACAAACTGAAATGGAAGATAGATCTCATCATTTTAATCAAAAAAGTTCATATAAACATTAGTCCGATCTCGTTCAGTAGCGGAGCTACAGGGGGTCAAAGTTTAATTATTTTCTTCTATCAATTGAAATATCTCGCTTACTTTTCAAGATATCATTATGAAATTTGGTGTGGTCAATACTTCCTAGAAGATCATCATTTCAAGCATTTCAAAGAGTTTCAAAATCTACAGGGTGATACGTTTTTGGAGGTAGAGGCTTCTTTATCTCCTCCAAACTTTTTCGTAGTACGCCTCGGGCATCTTTCAGTGATCAAATTGTGTAGATCGTTCAATTAAGAAGCTTCTTTTGCCCCTCAATTTTTTTCGAGAAACGAACCGTTTTTGACATAAATAAGCATATACGTTCTAAAACATGTTAATTTTGCCTATGTTTCGCTTAAATATTTCATTCTTTGACAGAATCCGTTGAAAATGCAATGAAATGTACTCACTAAAATTGAAATCACGAGTCCAATCTGGATCAGTAACGGGGATACGGAGGGTAGAATGTCAAGTTTTTTTTTCAGTTTTCTTAAAAAAAATAGAAAGTTTTTTTCGTCGACCTCAACAAGAAATAACATTTTACAATTTGGACAGAAAGCAGTCGGATATTCATTTCTTGATTTTCTCATTTCAGCAAATAATACAGATAAACAGCATTTGTATTACTTATTTGCTGAAATGAACCACTAACTTGAAAATTCGTGGTACTGAAAAATTGCATTGCAGAATCAGTTAGATGGTTGATTTCTGTTGGTGGTGGTGGTGAAATTTCATTTTGTATTGAATTACAGTGCAGATATTTATGTCATTCAGTTTCAAATCCCTCCCAGTATATTTCAAGTTTAGGTTACTGAGTACTCACATATACAGGTTGTTCCTTAAAGACATGCTAATATTCGAGGGGGTGATTCTTCGACTCATTTTAAGAAGAAAACTTCATATGAACATATGTCCTAAAAGTCTTAACTTTTGAGATACAGGGTGATAGAGTTTTGAAAAATATTCAGTTTTTTGATAATAACTGAGTCAATATTCTATGCATCTTCATGAAATTTGATACACGTCTTTTATGCATCAAGGTGCATTACACAAAATTTTTCTACCAGTGGCACCGTTACGGGAATATTATTGTTTATATTTTACCGAGTATTTTACTTAAAAGTGAGCAACAATGTCATAAAAGGCTTTTTAATTATGTACGAAAAAGATCCTCTTGTTGATACTCGATAGAACGCTTCGTTTTCAAGAAAAAACGGAAAAACGAGACCAGACTTCAAATTTTGATTTCTGAGTACTCCATTCAGGACATCCATGACTGGATAACCACAGTATGTAACATTTTGAAATTTGTATACCAATTCAGTCACATAGCAGACTGAATTTTGCCATCACGAAAAGCTATACAGGGTGGACAAAAAAATAATCTATGCATATTTTCAACATTGACGTATCTCAAACGTTATGACGTTTACGACATACGTTCATTTGAAGTTTTATTCTTGAAATGGGTCGAAAAATCGGCCCCTTGAATATTAGCATATCATTAAGAAACACCCTGTACCTACCTATACCTACCTACTATAGGGAAAGAAAAAAATTCTGAATCAATCAATACTAAATTGCTTACTTGGTTCTAGTTCTATTGATTTTAGTACAAGCATCACTGCCTTCTTCTGAACACTGAAGTTATGCGGGGAATGAGGTATTTTTAATTTGACAACAATGTGTTAGCGCCAGTTGTTTCATCTCTTTTTCCTTTCTAGACATAGTTGCCAGATTAGCAATTAAATTTTTCGGGAATGAGTACTCAAGATATAGTAGAACTGTTCAATTTGATGACTATAACAATAAGTCAACGAAATATCATCATCATAACAAAAACCAAAGAAGCGTGCTGATCTTGAAACTAATGGAAAACTTTGGAGTTCAGAGTAAATTGAATGTGATCAGATCAGCAATGAATTACCAATCAACTAATCAAGTACTGCAAAGTGATTTTGAATCATGACATTAGTTGCACCTTGCACCATCTTGCACATAGGTTCAATTCATGGATTTAATAGCAACCTGGCAACAGCGGCGTGCTTACCAGCCGCCACAACTCCGACCAAGTGAATTGCAAGAAGACACTGACGTCACAGCTCAGTAGTGTTTGAATTCATTAGTATTGAAATTACATTTTCAATATCAGATAATTCATTTGTTGTTCAGTATTTTTCATAAAAATGTGGTAGAGATAACAGATACTTACAACTATGAAAACAAAATCAACTTTAGCAAGTTTAGCAACACAACCAAACAGACCTCTAATGATCATACATTGTCACAAAAATATATTTCTTCAATCATTTTGACTGTTCTTTCATTTTTGATTTTCTATTCATTACTCTGAAAATACTGATTTAATTGATTCCACGTTTATGGACATAGTATCAGTTGTCTAAGATATAGCCATTGCAGAGGCACTGTTGGTTTGGATCCCTCATGGCTCAGCATTTTTCATGAATATATATGATTCTGGATGTGATCACCTCAGTGCACTAGAGGTGGTTCAGAATCTACTACAAGCTGTAGGTCCTGCTCTTCCTAACCCAGCCCAAGTTTTGACTTCTGGGCAGTTGGTTCCCAAATTTGAAGTAGTGATATACACATTTTACAAATTCATAAACATTTTTGTTGCATTCAAAAAGTATGCTGTATAATCTCCCACTCAGGTGTTCAACAATGGCATTGCTATATTCTCAAGATAACTGTTGTACTACCTACTTATTTAAACTGTATATTTTAAATTTGACTAGTCTAATGTTTCAACTTTCATTGCCTTGGAAATGCTACTTTGGTGTTAATGATTCTACATACATGAACCTGTTATTAACTTGAGGCATCTTGGGGAGGAATCAACTCTCCTAACAGCTGAGACAAATGTTGCCATGGGTATGAACTCAGGTATGAACAAAGGGTTTTATAGAAGGGGCCCTCAGGCTGTAAGCTGTAATGCTGTAATAATGCTTTGGACTTTCGTTTGTGCTGAAATCTGTATGCAATGTACACTTATTTCAGCCCCAAATGTCCGATATTTTGATAGTAAATTCTACACTCTAGGTACAGGATTTTGCACAAATGTACCATGTTCTTACCTGTTAATATTTGCACTCTGTCCCCTCGAAAATGGCTCCATTCTTTAATAGGTTCTACAAATACTTTTGCTGCTAAGCTACCAGGTGCGTTTTCCTGCCTGAATTGTCCTGTCCAAGGCCTGTTCACTGTGAAGTTGTATTTTTTTCTCTGAACAATTGCATTTGGTTTATATTGTATGCCTTTGGGGTTCCTCCAGTAGACCTGTTCCATTGCCCTTTTGATGTATCTCTCAGGCAAATTTGAATATTGTTTAGACCATTTTCCCACTCTGGAGAAGAGGAAATTTGTAATTCTCATTATTTATATTATATATTCTATTTGTACAGAATCTCGCCCTGTCTCTGGTTATTAATTTTGTATTTTGTTAATATTTCTGTATTTTTCATTTATTGGTTAGTACTCAATGATCTAAGATTAATGACGGTTGACAGTATTGTCAACAGTCGTCTTTCCATGGCGCGTTCACATGCTGGCTTTTCGCCTCGCGAGAATTGACCAGCCCCGGGGTTCATCGCGGGAAAGAGAAGGACGTATAACTCGCTCTCGCTCAGATGAACCTTTTTTCTTGAAGGAGAATTTTTCTTGAGGAAGGAAAATATTGTTTCTGCATAAAAAATGAGAAAACCTAACCTATCTATTTTATGAGTATATCTGTACTTGTTTCGTTGACCTGTGTAAAACTTAATGTTTATTAACACCAAATAAAATATTCTATTCTATTCTAACCTAACCTAACCTAACCTAACCGAACCTCACCTCTGGCCTAAACCACAAACATAGAAAACCCCTAAATGAACCTATTTCCCATAGAGAATATTTTTTAGAAATCACTTGAGAACAAGAAAAAAATAAAAAAAAGATGAGCCTCGCACGGAATCGAACCCCGGCCCGCCGGCTTGGTATGCCGATGCTCTGCCTACTGAGCCGATCAGTTGCTTACGAGACGAAGTATGATGAAGTACTGTGCTTCGGCTATGTGCCAAATGCATTCTCGCGAGTGAGAGGGCATTATATGTCCTTCTCTCTCCCGCGATAAACCCCGGGGCTTGTCAATTCTCGCTTTCGCCTCTTGGCTTATGGCGTATTGTGATTTGATTGGCCAATTTATGTGAAAGCGCGTATCAAGGTCATATGCCAAAAAGTCGATCACGATCCGACTTTTTGTCTAAAAGAAGCTCCGATTTCCAGGGTTTTAACTAACCTATATTCTTTGGTTTTATCGTGGTTTTATCTTTTCAGGTTAGTTGTTGTTGTCAACTGTGGTGAGATAATTATGTCATATTCAAATATGGAAAATAGTGGAATGTTGGTACAATTTCCATTTATAGGTAGTTAATAACATTTCTGTAGAATTCACGGTCATCAATTATTGTAGATGATGAACTCACTTGAATAAGTGGAAAACGTTATTCGAAACGGATATATTCCTGAAATTCCATGAACAATGATAATTCAATTTTCTTCTTGAATATTTCGATTATCAAATTTAAAATTTGTCTCCTCAACTGTCGCTTTTGTCAGAAGTTCTATGTGAACGCGCCATCAAGGGTCTTTCGTATCATCAGCTGTGTGTCATACGCAAGGAGAGTATAATCCTTGGGCCGCGACCACTTGGACCACACTTCGACCACAGGATTTTTGATTGATGACACCAGTGGGACTCTGTAACTCAAAGCGAAAGCGAAAGCATGCGTAATCGACTGCTTTTGCGTTTCGGTACTCTATATCAATATTCGGATGAGGTCGGAAACGCCGAACGTGAGTTCGTAAGCGAAGCAGAAGCGAAGGATTTTGGTTGCCGCTTTCTGCGATTCTCAACGATTGAGGTTATAGGTATTGGTTTTTGTTGTTGTTCCTAGTTCGAACTTTGTGTTGATTTGAGAAAAATAATAGATTAATAAATGAGGAATGAACCCAAACATGGATAACAAAGCGAGCAAAGACACAACTCAGTCAGTGGGACAGATTCCTCAGTTTTACGAACAAAATCCTAAAGATATTCCAGAGAGATGGAAGTTCCCTTTGGTAGGATTAAGGTAGGGGATGAAAGAACGTGAGATGAAAAATATGATAGACAGTGTGATGAAAACATACAGCTCATTTGGTAGTTGAAAAATAAATTGAAAACTGCCATTACTGAATGTTGTCTCACTAAATCCTTGTTAAGAAAAATATTTCTTTGGTGTGAGTCCATTGAAGAAGACAATAATAGGTAATTAAAGAATCCTACTAATATAATATGCTGATACCTACAACAGTGAAACATAACAGAAAGCCTGGAACGTTCAAATTTGAAAAATTTGCATAATAAGTGCATTAGAAGGGAAAATAATTTGGATAGCGAATACCTTGAAGACACCCAAGAAGAACTGTGTAATATTACTGTGTACCAATAAGGGAGAATCAAGAGTAAATTCCATGAAACAGGATTAACTGAACATTATTTACTATGTTGAACAAGAACAAGAACGGATTCTACTTTCATCACATTAATAATTCCATCCAAGATTCTAAAGTGAACTGTAAGAAAAAGTGCATCTGTTTAAATGCACTGTCAACATATAGCTGCCTTGCAGAAGGCGATTCAAGGAATTATATGTGCTTATCATCTTGTTTAATTTGTGACATAGAGAAGCAAGTTCTGATAGGTATTACATTATAGTAGGTAAATAATAATATACTGAGTGTTAGATTATAGAATGATATGTCCATTATAAATATAAGCAGTTACATATCTTACAATATTATTGTTATTCTCAGATCATTTTCCTTTACTAGTTGCATATAAATAGAAAGCTATACCTGAGATATACCTAGTGAGAATATATGTTATGTATTTGAACACAATGAAAAAGCTTTTCACAATGACTTTTTAATGACATTACATCAAATCATTATTATTTGACAACTGCTGAATATCATACTAGCCAAAACCCTATACACAGGATGTGCTAAACTGTTCATAACCTTGACGATTACTCAACACTTCCCCCTTTTAAATTAACAGCATGATTCACAAAAAGCGTTTTGGTGTTTTGACGCACCGTCCCGATCGTGTGGTACGGCAGGTTCCCTCTGGAGCCCGGGTAGTGCCAGTATCAGTGGATGTTCCTGGATTTGGACCATCCATCTCACAGTCCGTGCTCCTCGCGACCGGTAGCTCTGTTGGTGCTGTAGTATCCGTAGTAATAGCTTCTGTAACGTGCTCGGTACTTTCGTTGTTGCTAGATGTGCTTGGTATACTGATAATATTTTGCGGATCCACGTGCAGTGTCGGTGCTGCGATGGCAGGGTTATTCATGTAAGTTGAGTCTGGTACTTCTCGACGCCGCAACTGATCCACGTGTCGGGTGCAAACTTGACCGTCCAATAATCTGATAAGATAGACGAAATTACCAATTCTTTCCTCAATACGTCCTGGTAACCATTTGTCGCCATTCCGTAAATTTTTCACGAATACCGGTTGATCCACTGCGAACTCCCTTTTCGGTATAACATACTCTTCTTCTACCGCACTCGAACTCGGATGCATAGAAGAAAGAGCCGTTCGTAGTCTCCTGTTAAACATGAGTTCAGCTGGAGTCTTACCCGTTGGTGCTGTTGGTGTCGTATGCTGCTTGAACAACAACCGCGCCATGGTTGTCTCAATTTTCTCGTTGCTTGCCAAAAGTTCTAAATTCCTCTTGGTAACTTGGACCATTCTTTCAGCTTGTCCGTTGGAAGAAGGATGTCCTGGTGACACTGCGACTCCTTTGATGCCGTTCAGTTGGTAAAATGTGGTGATCTCATCTGATATAAACTGTGTTCCTCTGTCTGAAATTACAGTTTTCGGTAACCCAAAGGTCGCGAAAATCCGCCGTAACTTTGAGATCACTTCTGTAGAAGTTATGTTTCGTAACAATTCTACTTCCAACCACTTGCTGTAACTGTCTACCACTATGAGAAAATACTTTCCTCCGTGGCACGGTCCGGCGATATCCACATGAATCCTGGACCACGCTATTTCTTCAGGAGTCCATCTGCCTGTCGTCTCCTTGGCTGGCATATTTCTTGTTTGTTGACATACTTCGCACTGTCTTACTCTGTTTTCGATATTAGCATCTAACTCTGGCCACCACACGTAACTCCTAGCGCATGCTTTCATGGCAACCATTCCTGGATGATTTGCATGCAGCAGTTCAAGAACTCTTTCGTGTAGTTGTTCTGGTATAACCACGCGGGTACCCCAGAGAAGGCATCCGCGGTGTGAAGAAAGTTCTTGACGTCTTCTGTAAAATGGTTCGAGCTCGGCATCCGTGTTTTGCTCAGGCCATCCGTGTTGAACCAGAAAATATACCTTCTTCAAAATGTTATCTCTTTCTGTTGCTTCCTTGATTGTTTCTGATTTTATAGGGGGGTTTTTCATACCTTCTAACAGTAAAACTTCAAGTGGTCTAGGAGGTTCTGCTGTCTCTTCTGGCATTGGTAGCCGACTCAACATGTCCGCATTCTTATTCTCCTTGCCAATCCTGTACTGTATGTTGTAATCATAGTTGGCCAAAATCAAGCACCACCTCGTCATCCTGGGTGATAGCATCTGTGACATGGGCTTCTTGGGATTGAACAAACCAACCAGAGGCTTGTGATCTGTTGTAATGGTGACCGGTCTACCATATACATACATATGGAATCGTTTCATTCCAAAAATTACAGCCAATCCTTCCTTATCTAGAACTGAGTAATTCTGTTCCGTCTTTGAGAGAGTCTTTGACGTGAAAGCAATGGGTCTCTCTGACCCGTCCGGCATAACATTAGCTAGCACAGCTCCTACTCCCATAGAAGACGCGTCGCAAGAGAGTACTAGAGGTAGGTCCGGATCGTAGTGAACGACCACTGCTTCAGATGTCAGCAACTCCTTGGCACGCCGAAACGCTTCGGTGTGTTTTTCTGTCCACTGGAAGGAGCCCTGTGAATTTGCCAACTCATACAATGGCTTCATCACCACTGCTCTGTTCTTCAAAAAACAATCATAGAAAGTTAGTAACCCAATAAACGCTGAAAGGGTTGCTCTGTCCGTTGGTTCGGGAGCTTCATGAATAGCACGCAGTTTGTCGTGTGTAGGATGCCAGCCGTCTTTGTCTACTCTGAAGCCCAAACACTCAATACTATTTCGCCCGAAACAACATTTTTCCTTGTTGACTTTGAGACCACTGTCACGTAGTTTCTCGAGTACAGTTCGAAGTCGCTGATTATGCTGTTGCTCATCTGTGCCGCAAATTATAACATCATCTAGATAAGCTTGTACTCCGGTAATTCCTTGCAACATTGTGTCCATGAACTGCTGGAAAATTATCGGACAACTTGATACCCCGAACTGTAATCTGTTTACCCGAAATAGTCCTTTTGTTGTATTCAACGTAAGCGCCTCTGCCGTCTCTTCATCCACTCGTAGCTGCTGGTAAGCCTGTGCTAGATCGATCTTACTGAAAATCTTTCCGCCCGTGAAGCACATCCTCATCTCCGCTAATGTCGGAAGAGGATACGCCGACTGTAGAACGGCCTGATTCACCGTACTCCTGTAATCGCCGCAAAGTCTTACTTTGTTTGGCTTCACCACAACGACAAGTGGAGTGGCCCATTTGGAGTGTTGTACTGGTGTCAAAATTCCTTGTTGAACCAGATTTTCCAACTCTCTCTCTACTCTAGGTTTCAGAGCAAATGGCAACGGTCTGTACTTCAAAAATTTAGGCTGAAAACCTTCTTTCAATTGTATTTTTACTAGAGGACCTTTGTGGCCTGTGAGATTGCCGTCCAATAGTTCTGCGAAGTCGTTTATTATACTACTGTCATGATTTGGCTCAATACGATTGATACCAGTTATTTTTATTCCCAGTGCAATCATCCAGTTTCTTCCTAAGAGGCTGCTTCGTCTTCCAGACCCAACCAATAACGGCAAATGGTGAGTCTTTGACTTGAACTGGACTGTAACTTCGCCTTCCCCTAGCAAATCAACTTCCTCTTCTGTCCACGTCTGCAGCTGTAGGTCCGTTGCCTGTAGAACGACCGGAAAGTCTTTGGACAATTTCTTGAACATGGTCTCTCCAATAATAGTATTGGAACACCCTGAGTCCACTTGCATGTCTATTTCTACCCCATTGACTTTCATTTTCACCATTAAAGGTGAGGTACTGTCCTGTATACAATTAATTCCGTAAAAGGAGTCTTCTTTTTCTTCTACTGCATTCGCTGTGCTACGTTTTTCTTGTTGATGCTTTCGATTGTTTTGTTCGCTGCTCTTCTTTTCCTCTTTACCTCCTTTCTTGGGTAAATTCTTCCGTTTCGCAAAGCATGCTTTCTCTACATGGCCTGTCTTGTTGCAATAATGGCAAGTTTCTTCAGTTGCCCAGCAATTCTCCACTTTGTGATTACCCGTGCACCTCCAGCAAGGTCTGACACTTCCTGATGGGTTGCTTGCAGGTAGTGCTCGAGGTTTTCTCACTTCAGTTCTGTAGACCGTCTTATCTTTCATCTGTTCCACCTGTTTATTTGCTGCTTCCATGGCTATTCCTAGCTCCAACGCATTTTTGAAAGTTAAATTTCCGTCTGCAAGCAGTTTCCTCTGTAACGCTTCGTCGCTTATTCCAACTACTAACTGATCCCTCAGTTCCGTTTCCAAGGTCTGAAAGTTGCATCCTTCAGCCAGCTTCCGCAGTTCAGCAACATAAGTAGTAATAGCCTCACCAGGTTTCTGTATACGTTTCCTAAATCGAAAACGCTTCACAATTTCATTGTCCTTTGGTTGAAAATGTTGTTGCAGATTCTGTGTAATAGTGCCGAAGTCAGTCTCCGTTAACTTTCTTGGAGCTAACAATGAATGTATCAAACTGAATGTCTCATTTCCGCACAATGATAAGAATACTGCCCGTTTTTGACTATCGTCCGTAATGTTATTCGCCATGAAGTAGAACTCTAAACGTTCATGGTACTGTGTCCATATGTGTGTTTTGGGATCAAAAGGTTCTATCTGTCCAATTGGCATTTCTCAAAACTGTAATCGCCGATTCGTACTGTATATCTTCTTATCCGTCTAATAACCCAAGGATCCCATCCTCGTCGCCAAAATTGTTATGTATTTGAACACAATGAAAAAGCTTTTCACAATGACTTTTTAATGACATTACATCAATTCATTATTATTTGACAACTGCTAAATATCATACTAGCCAAAACCCTATACACAGGATGTGCTAAACTGTTCATAACCTTGACGATTACTCAACAATATAAATACCAATTTTTTATATGAACAAAGTAGGTACATATTTTCCAATGAGCTGCTCTGTGCAGAATAGGTTCTTGTTTGGCTGATCACTATTTTTGTTGGCCTTGATGTCAATATCTGTTTGTAGTCAATACATTCATTCCAATTCATAGAAATAAATCATCTTCATATGTGTTTTTGATGTTTTATTGAATTTCTTTTCTCTCGGAAACTTCTCCAAGTGCTTTATTTCTGATTGAAACCAAAAATTAACAATACAATAATTCGTAAATGCCGCTTTTTTGATCCAATGGGATGTTTCCTTTGAATAAATGGGATCCGCAACACTGTTGCCAAATTTAACTCCACCAACTTCGTTCTATTTCGTATGAAATCGTATGACGATAGCGAAAGCATAACGAACTACATATAGAGTACCGGAAAGCGAAGTCGTATACTTCGCTTCGTTTCGCTTTCGCTACGCTTTCGCTATGCGACACAAGTTACAGAGTCCCACTGCACATTGACCAAACTTCGAATGGTATCGTTTTTTGTTGAAGACCAAAACCGACGGGCCGACCGATCCAAGACCACTTTTTGATGGTCGATGCATTCGAGGACATAAAGTATAACCTCAAAGCAATCAAATTATCAAAAAAAATAGGAAAGCTCATCTACAGTCGTCAAAATTGAGTGACTCGAACTGCTTATATATTTCAACAAAATTATCATTACATCATTGATGATTCACTTGAGTGTTTTATTTCTGATATACACAGTTCGAAATTATTATTTCATTCAACTAAATCTGTCTCGAGGAATTTTGTGACTCATATAGATAATTTCCTAATATATAAATATATCTGGTATATGGGATGCCAGGTGATGTGTTATTTTCGATATATTATTGATTGATCAGTAAATTTAATGGTTTTGAAGGATTCTGTATTCATCAAGCGACCGGTCGAAACCATTCGTATTTGTCATTGTGATTATTTACGTGACACTAACGACCAGTCGGACAAGCCGGTCGACAACCAGAAACATGATGATACACACTCACTAGATAGGCGTGCATGTAAGAAATGGAAACGCTAGGTAAGTTGGGAACGAACAGAGCGATGATACCGCTGTGCGATAATTGGTCAACGAATCAGCACTGTCGATTGGCCGCTAGTCTATTAGATCCCATCGCAGCGTAGCCAATTTTCACACAGGCATTGATGGTCGTTGACTATCTAGTGTGTGTGCCATCTTTGTTCAATATTATCGCTGTTCGCTGGTGCTGTTAATGCCATAATATGCCGTATGACAAGAAACATCAACAGCGAACATATGAACAAACTCTTCAATATCGATGATAAAACAGTGAACATTATGCACAATACACCAAATCTACAAAGAGTATAGACATGCGTTCGAACATGATTCTTCAACAGAGATTAAAGACATGGAGTACTGACGTTGATATATACTATGCAGGTGCCTAGCCGATTCAATGCTACAAGTAAGGCATGTAGCCACGCTTGTTGATCATAAAAGTTTTTCGTGCATTCTCAGGAATGAAGCCGACACCCATATTACGACCCTGGCCCGAGACACACGTCCAATCAATTTTACATACACGTCGACGTGCATCTACTCACAACAGTTGTCATTAACCTTAACCATTAACATTACCATTAACCTCCAACATTGCCATTAACCTCCATAGTCCATCTCCTAAACCTAAATAAAATGATTAAAGAAATCATGTGAAGAAATAAACAAATTCTGGAAAAGTATTTCCTTGTAGAGTAGGAGTTTGAGGGATATATTCAGATCTGATACCTTTATACTTAGATTATATGTTTTCTGGGAACAACTCTGGGAGGAATATCAGTAGGTACCATGTCCAGAATTAATATTTTGAATTTGTATAAAACCATGTTGAAGGAATCCAAAAAAATTCCCTCATATAATTTCAGGTATGCCATATTACATAGTGAATGATATTGTGTCTTAAATGAATTGTTATTATTCAGGAAGTATGCACTTAGAAGAGTTCATGATGGATTCAAAGAAAATAAAGGATTGAGAGATCCAGACATCATTAGTGAAAAAATCACTGAATGTCAAAGGAATCTGGAAATAATCAAGAGACAAGTAAGTTATGAATTCCTGGAACAAATCAAAAGATCTAATGTTTACATGAGAAAGTAGAATCAGTCATCAGTGTGGACTGAGTGATTTTGGTTTGGATTGTATCTTTCAAGGGGAGCAAAATATTCTGCTCTGCCACTTACTTGAATCAGTTTAAATTGCATCACGTTTGAATCTTGTTAAAGGGGACATTAGTATCCCTTTTTATTTGTATTTTGCCTCAATTCCTTATCACAGGAGATATCACATGACTGAAGTAAGTATACCTTCTGAAATGATGGCAGCAAAAAAATCAGTGTGACAAGAATTTGACTCAGATTGAGGGGTGGCACAGGTAGGGTTTTGAGATCTGTCATTCAATTGGTTTCTGATATGGCATGATTCATATCTCCTCATCAGGTCATGAAATTTCACACAAATCAACATGCAGGACAGTACTATTTTTCAATCATTTTGCTCAGAATAATGACTGGCACAGGTGCCCTATGATAAAATATAATGTTTTCACATGCCCCAAACTAGTTCCTATAAATGGATTAAGTAAACAAAATCTATATGGATTATGAAATGGATTATGAAGCAGTCTTGAGAAAACGCTACACTTCCTGTTATTGCACTGCACATGCTTCTGATGGTTTTGGATTGTTTATTTAGTGAATGTGAATTTGACAAAAAACATGGAACCAAATTGACATAATAATTCAAGGGGTAAACCACCTTTGAAAAATTGGTACACCAGAATCACTCAAATCCCACAGAATTCACCAGGAATCTCACATGCCTGTACACCATATATAAAATTCCAATGTGGTTCACCCCTCTATAATACAGACATTTTGAAATTTCCACCTATGTGATTCCTCAACAAACTTTGACAGTAAATCATTGTTTGTGTGAGAAATTGAAAAAATTAATTCATGTGGATATTTTTGAAAAAGAAGGAATTATTCAATTTTCCTTAGATTCCAGAAAGTTAACAAGAATAGTCCATTGACATAAATATACTACCTTGACTTCTTTTCAGATCTAATAGGTAGAAAATACTGAATTTTCTTTTTCAGGCTATAATTGGTCACCTCTACAATGCAGAAAAACTGGTCATAGAACATTAATCTACATGAAAATTCAATGTGTGATTATTCTCTCAAAATGATGTGATAGTTGTTATATGTTGAATATTGTTTGTGAAAATGGAATATTAGAATATTAAATATTTACTCAAGGAAGGAAGGTATATGAACTAAATGAATCCAATGAATATGGAGATGAATACTAACCACACTCACAATTCACAGTAAAGAAATGAAGTGAGAAAACTTAATTTTCTGATAATCTGACTATATCCAAGAGTCCCCATTATGGCAATATCAGGCTAGTTTTATTAATGTCGACCCCCCCCCCCCCTTTATCTCTTTTATTTTCCACTCAATCAAAAAAATTCAAAGCTGATTTTATACAATATTTCATACAGGTTCCACATACAAGGTATTCAGAAATATATATGCCTACATATATTTTGAATGGAATGTGTGGATTGGAAATCTGTATGAAAAATAATTGTATGAAATCAGTTTTGTATTTTTTTGAAAGGGTATGGAAAACATAAAAGAAAAAGAGGGTTTCACATTAATGATACTAGCCCTGTATATGTATTCTGTATTCCAGCTTATTTCTTATGGATATCAATTTTTTATAAAGTTTTCTGCATTGAGAGAATGCAGGTCGTTTGTTCTCTCACTCAGGGTTTTGCCATGTCAAAAATATGAAAACCAGGTCAGGGCTACCTGAAAATCCGGACAGCAGGAATTTTGAAAACTCGAATCATTTTTTGTTATTCCAAAAAATATATTTTCATATACCTACCTATAAATTCAAAGATGAATGGTGAATATCACTATAGTAGGATGTATTGGTAAGGGTACCTACATATTTATTTGTTGCACAATAAACCGAATAAAAACTCATAAATATTTTTGAAACAATAAAAAAAATGTCAATCGATTAACCTACAGACAGTATTTGTCAATCAACAGATTGAAACAAAACCAAAGTCACATAAATGATACCAAATCTATGAATATTCAATTTTTGAGCAAACTTTCAGTGATATATGATGGTAGTTTATGTCAGTGGTTTGACCTGAAGAAAATCCGGACAATTTTTCCAAACCCTCCCGGTCGTCTCCGGACGCCCCAAGAACCCGGACATGTATGGGAAAATCCGGACGGATAGCAACTTCCTTCTGCTTCCATTTAGATATTGTAGTTTCCTAGCGAATTGCACATTGAGGGCTTAGGCGTTCCTCCCACAGATGTCGCATATTGAATATAAAATTGTTTTGTAAAGTGTGACCAAGATTGCACAAATGCACAGCATGGATATCTTCGGAAACGGTAGGAGATACAAATTCGGTTAAATGGGAAAAAAAGTTGCACATCAAGAGAGCAGAGAGTTATTCCAAAAACCTCAGGAAATCTATTAATCTATAAATTTTCTGTAGTATTCAGTACGTATGCCGACTGATTGTAAGATTACATTGACTTCTTTATGGGTGCACTGCTGCTAGATTTTGGAATAGGAAACAAATTTTTTTATTCATCTATAAACTTTTCTGTCGCGTAATTTTCATGCATCTGCAACAGTTCTTTGTGAAACGCTAGATTTAATTTAGATTTTCAACAAAGAAAGTTAACCTATGTAGCTAGAAAAAGCTTATGACCTCTGGAAAAAATATCTCCCCGTAGATTCTTTTCAATCATTCGGCATTCTCTTATATGTAAATCTCAAAACAAACGTATATCCTATATATTTCAAATTTAATCTGAATATATCGAAAGGGTGCCCAGATAACACCAACCATGGGTCCAGCGTTTGTAACGCACACTCCCGGCAGTTCATGAACTTTCCCGGCGTCGCGGTGTCCAGTGCGGCCGCCAGCCGGCCCTAATACACATTACCGGCGATTAAATTATTGACTTGAAAGTGCTACAGCGGCAACAAATTTCAATGCAGGATGAGTTTTTCGAGCACTTTCCGAGTATCTGACCGCGAACTACAAACTCTCGTTTCAAGTGTCTTATATTTCAATAGTCGGCCGTCATTTCTCAAGTAGACCGCGTGTTGGGTTTGCGGAAAACATATTTATTTGTACTCCTCAGCAAACATTGATACATCGGCAACTTGCTCACTGATGGCCGACTCAACATCAATATTGGCGAAGCAGTGGACTTCCATTATTGTTGGCCCAGTGAAGATTCACTGACGTATTTTCAGTGCATTCCCAATTAAAATTAAGTGGTTATTCATTCTTTCACAGAGAATTTCGAGATTACGTATAGAAAATATTATTTTACTAATAGAGGTAATAATAATAATTCTAATAACTACATTAAAGTTCTCGTATTTAGTTAAATATGACCAAATCTGATCTGATAAATCAGCGCAAGAGTTCACGAATTCCGTTTTTGTTGATTGATATTGTGATTTCTGGAATATTCGGAACATGGCCAAAAACTCGAGAAATTCTCTTCTTTGGTATCTGCAATGAATCATTTGTGGATTTTATGTAACCTATAAATCACAACTGCATATTACCTATAGCTTGCTGCAACAATCGGTATTTCCATCTCAGCAAATACTCTTTCATGGGAAAATCATGTCAGATCCATCGTGTGAAAGCTGCTTCACGAAAAATGTATTTATTTTCTGAGCGAAAAGATAGAAAAGATATATATATACACCTCATCGCAACATCTCATGATCTATACAAAGCACATATATACGGCCCGTTTCAGAATAATATTTCCACATATGAGGTTTAGCATTCAAATATACGCTGATGATCTTAGGTTCCATCCTTGATCATTAGTTTCTATCTAGAGACGAGACATTCGCCTGGTTGGTGATGCTACACTCACTAAATCCTTGACCAACCATAGGAAATTCGGCGACCTTTTACTTTTCTATATAGATATACTATACCACGGGAAATATTATCTTCAGAAATCTCTGCTATCATTTCCTCACTAGCAATAGCAGCCAGACATGTAATTGTCAATCCATGAGAAACAAAGAAGAATGAAAAAATTACGAGATCGTAGGTCGAGTAATTCTGTCTAATGTGATTTTGTCGAGTGAAAGTACTGATGAAAAATTTTTGATCGAGGAAGATTCGATGAAAATTAACAATCTGAAATTAGTAAAAGTGAGAGGTCACTTATTCGTCAAGTTGACAAGAAATTCTCCATAATAATATACCCATACAACACATGGACATCCGATGGATGTCCATAGGATATCCATTCAGGATATTTTGGATATCCAATGGACATCCAAATAACGTCCAATGGATATCCCATGGACGTCCAATGGATGTCCTGAGGCCACCAACTTGTACGTCCATAGGATATCCTTCACGGACGTCCATAAAATATCCTTCAATGACGTCCATAGAACATCGTTCAAGAACTTTTGGGTAATCTCAAACAACGACAAAAATAATCAAATCAAGATATCATTGATATCAACATTCAGATAAAATATGAAAACAGTCTGATGCGTAATGCGTGCTGATGCTCTGATGCTGTTGACCTTTATTGTCACAGTCTCAGGACTCTCAGGTCACAGTCACAACTGTCACAAGTCACATTGGATAGAAAATGACAGTGGTACAAAAGTCAGAACTTATTTGAGTTCTGTAGTCTGCGTTCGCGTCATGGACCCACCATATATCTAATAACATCTATATGGGTGACAAGATCTCTGAATTGAAGCCAAAAAATTGATAACAAAAGACAGTCTACGGGCAAATTGATACTAAGGCGCATGAGCCGAACACAATAAACGACATCAGTTCTACTCTGTTCTATGCGCATCTGTTAGCTGGCGAGTGAACGTATGATTATTCATTGTCTCGCAGACTGTCATTTGTTTCTCAAAACTGGCTTCAATTTTGAACAAGGAAAGGATAGGACGTTACCCATATAGTTGTTATTAAATATATGGGACCCACATGGACATCCAAAATATGTTTGGTGAGTCCGACACTGCCGACTTTGTCGACATCTCTATGTTATTCTGGGCGTTATTGTTCAACGACGTGGTTCAATGCTTCAATACAGGATATCCCATGGATATCCATTGGATATCCAAGAAGACGTTGGAAAATTCCATATTCGATATATTATATATTTCCTAGTAATATAACTATGTACACACAATTTATTACATTGATTATATCCGCGCGGGTGAATTTTGGATATCCTATGGATATCCAAAAAGGTCCAAGGATATCCCGACATGAATTGGACATGATTTGGACGTCCATAGGATATCCCGTGTTGTATGGGTATTTGGTCTTGTTAGTGTAAATATTATTGCTAATTACTGAAATTCGTTTCTCAAACTTAGATAAATTGTGGATTACATTACGTCAACCTGACTAGTGAGCACAGTGAGTAATCTCACTTTCACTAATTTTAAATTTTGAATTTATTAACGGCTATTTTCCTTCAAAAGCTGAAAGTTGATTACCTACTTACAGATATGCACGTGTTTTTAGATTTCGGCAGGATGTAATTCAATGCTCTGTACTGTGGTATAGTTTATGCAAAGTCAGTTGGAAAAACACATCACCGCAAGCCGTCGGTCGATCCCTTTGAAAGTTCAAAGAGTGCGGCAGCGCGGCCCGACATTCGTTTGATGATCTGTTCAACCATTAAGTATTCGTGTATATAATCAATAAGGGTTCAACTGACTTTGCATAAACTATATATTAGTAGGGAAATTAGTTGTTTTCCCTCGTCATCTACCATTGCTATTCATTTCTTGATCATTTGTGAAAATTACAAATCGAACATCCTTGAAAATTGAATAAACCTGATCTGTTGATGCAGGTAGAATATTCTCACCAAACGATTTATTTGTTGCATTGCATAAATATGACACGGCATTGGTGGTTACTTCATCATATATTCCTTTGAGTTAATTCTTTGGGTTGTAGAAAAAATAGTATGTTTCATTCGGATCAAAAGTGACTCTATTTCACTCGCAAATTTTGATTTCGCTCGGCTCCGCTAGACGCTCCGTCTCGCATTTGCAAAATTCGCTAGTC